GGGGGGGGGGGGGGGGGGGGGGGGGAGGGGGGGAGATTTTGTAGAGCTTTATTCTGATAGCAACTTACACTTGATGATGCTGATGACGATGAAGACTGGCAAGCTAGGCGAGACCACTATGGCGAGTGTGGACAGGGACAGGACACAGGACGACGTCAGTAGAAGTGATCTTATAGAGACACGGGGCATCACCACGTTGACAATCACCTGGGCTAGGAGACATACAGTGCTGTATAGTCATATATCTAGAAGAGTCAACAATGGTGTGGTGCGCACCAAATTCGACAGTTCAGTATGCTGCGTACGATATTGATAGTTTATTTAGGTGCATAATACATTGTTACCTTGAAGTGGCGCAGAATACATTGTTTTGGTGCGGACTTCATTCGTAGTTCAAAGTGCTTTGCACACATTCTAAGTTTAGAATGGTGTGCATTACATTAACTTGTCAGTGTAGTGTTCAGGTGTAAATATGTTTCGGCTTACGGCGAAAGTTTGTTTCAAACTCGGAATAAAAGTAAAACATATTTGAGGTGTAGAAAATCTCCAGTGCCCGCTTTATGAAACCTCTAGCGAAATTATGATAGAAATGACATCAGTTTTATCCTCTAAACTTTGTTTTTTAGTCACGGAAATTGAATCGAAGTGTCACTGACATTATTAGGGACCCTTCATCGTACATTAAAACCCACATTTTTTTTTTTTTTGTTTGCCTTATTACTCACATGACAAGCAGTAAGCGAAGCCCGTGACGGACAGCATGGCTGTCAGCGTGGACGCCTTCGTGTCGTTATATATAAAGTTTAAAAACGCAGGACTGGTTCTAGTTTGGTTTTTGTCTTATTCTTAGTAATATATATGTATGCTAAAGTAACCATTTTTGTTCGCAAAATCAGTCATGCAATTACAATTTTTAAATTTCCGAGCTCTGTTGAGTATTAAGTGATTTATCGCAAGCCGATTTTCTTTTAAAAATTGTTGAGATAACATCGAAAAATAAAAACTAAGGCATACAAATTTGAAAATAAAATTTTATAAAACAAAAACAAGGAAAATAAATCATTTTTCTATTAAGTTACGACATCGATTTTTATAAAATTAATTCAAATTTCTCTAATACAAAGTTTCTTTATTTTTTAAAATTTCTTTAAGGAGTTAGTTAGGAGATAATTCAAGAAATCTGATTATTTTCATTGCATGAAAAACTTACAAGGACTTCAAAATAAATATATTTCTTTTCTAATATAACTTAAAATTGAAATTATACAGAAAATCTGTTGTAAAATTTCGTTGCGATATTTCAGGTAGTCCGATTTTACTTTCTTAAAACAAATCTATAAATAACATTGATGTTTTCTCCGATTAGTTGTAAAGGAGCGAGCTTAAACACGTAACATAAGGAGAATAATCTATGTGTTCATATAACATAAGGAGAATAATCTATGTGTTCATATAACATAAGGAGAATAATCTATGTGTTCATATAACATAAGGAGAATAATCTATGTGTTCATATAACATAAGGAGAATAATCTATGTGTTCATATAACATAAGGAGAATAATCTATGTGTTCATACAAAGCTACAATCATGTTCACCTCAAGTCCGGATAATATCAGGAAGCAGCCCGTAAAGCCGTATTTATTGTTTAAGAATCTTGCCAAGGGCGGGATGACAATGGAGGCCACGCTGGACCCCAGCACCGACAGCGCCACTGCCAGTGTTTTTCTCCTCGTAAATGAACGGCCCACCACCGTCACAGCAGGGACGAAGGCGCCGCCCTGGGCTATGACTGTTGATAAATGCAATGACACATTTGTAAGTGACACCCAGACCAAAGGAGACAAAAATATTTCTTACCGGCAAAGTCCCTTTAAAACACTTTAAAAAAAAATAATTAAAATACCCATTGAACAAAGTTCATTTTGAACAAGCTTCTATTCGAACAACATGCCTTCAAACAAATTGGTTTCGAACAGTTTTTTACGTACGCTGTTTTTCTTAAGAGAGTTAGTTAGTACGTACTAATTTTCGATACCCCACCCTCACCTTTTAAATCTCTCTTCTTTAGAAATGATGTAAGGGCAGAAATATCAGTTAATAGAAGTTTTTTTTTTTTAAATATACACATGAAATAAATATCTTTCCATTATTGTTAGAGCAGTGTGGTCAAGTGAACTGGATAGTAATTGGGAAACAGGATGGGGACACAATGGAAGGTGGTAGAAGGTCAACGTGGGGGGGGGGG